GGCTGCAGAGGGTAATCGGTATAAATTGATGTCATGTTTCGAACTAGATGTAAAATACTAAGTGTGCGCAAAATATAAAGGGTTATCTCTCAGATGTTTTGTTAGAGCAATAAAATTTAACAATTACTCGTGTGTACTCTGTGAATAGACTGAACAACGAAAAAATTATTTCACGAATTTGCACAGGGGAAAAACGAAACCGATTTCGAACGTACCGCGCGACCGTGAAAAGATTTGGTGCCTTTCTCCGAAGCGCAATTGCGTTTGCTTCCGTCTTGTTGATTTAGGCACTTGAAATTTTTGTTCGGGTTCAATGAAATAAAAACTCCAGCTTCACTTTATTCTGAAACTGAACTTTTTGGTGAATTTAAGTGACGCGTCATCACTGGCGCGCACTACATTATACCGGCGGTGCATTTCTCGCGTTATCTTGGCAATGTTGGCGCTTTGCATATTACTTACCTTCTTCCATTATTCTTTCGGCCTAGGGCCAAAAGTGACAGAAGAGGTTAGAGCATCTTCGCGGTTTATTTCAGTTTGCTATCAGGTATTTTTTGACATAAAAATTGGAGATGAGAATATTGGCCGAATCGTAATAGGTCTTTTTGGTGGCACTGTTCCCAAAACTGTCGAAAATTTCAAGTCCATTGCCAATGGGTTCCAGGTTCGCTCGTCGTTAACTTTATTCTACTGCTCAGAACGATGGGGCGAAGTTGCATTACAAGAACAGCATATTTCATCGAGTTATCAAAGGTTTCATGATTCAAGGTGGAGATTATGAAAACAGTGATGGGACTGGAGGTGAAGGTCCTTGTACAATTGATACATGCGTATAGGTCGAAGCATTTATGGTGCAAAATTTTCCGATGAGAACTTCAAATTGCGTCATTCTGGTTCTGGTTGGGTGTCGATGGCGAACGCTGGTTTGTCTAGTTATTCAGAAGTATATTTATATGCCTAAAACAGGTCCGGACACCAATGGCAGCCAGTTTTTCATAACTGTGGCGGCAACGCCATGGTTGGATGGCAAACATGTGGTCTTCGGAAAGGTCGTCAAGGGCATGGTACGTCTTCGTTTTTTTTCATAAATTTGTTTTAGGACGTTGTGCGTAAGATTGAAAACACAGAAACTAACCCAAGAGACCGACCTCTTAAAGACGTTGTTATTGTGGATTGTGGATCGATACCCGTGGAACCCTATTCTCTCGACGATTCAATGGATAACTGAAGTCTCAAGGATTTTTTAACTCCAACTCGTTTGCTTGTTCCCGCCCCGTTTCTATTTTTATTCTTTTCCGAAATGTGAAAAGTTCTTGTTGATGGGCTTGTATGCTAATAACTTTCAGAATGCATCTGGATGTTCCGGTAATTCAGTTTTGCTGGGTCTACCATATCAGTGGAAGCAGGGGGTGATCCAAAATTGGCTTTCGCGTCCCGGTCTTCCGCAAAGTGCTACTTATAACAGGATATTCACAGGGTTATACTGGAGGCCACGCATGCTAGTTGTCGCATAGAGATGTTTCTCCAATATTTTCTACTCGAGCTTCGAAGATGTAGGCGCGAAATCCTCTGGTTTATTGCTCTACAAGTTGACAAGTCGCGTCGACAGGATAACCGAAGGATTTTTAATAAGGCGGTGCCTTTTTTCTCATCAATCTGAATTCATGTCTTCTTGCTGCCTCTGAAGGCCCCTTAAACCTTGCGCTGCTTCCTTGTCCCTTCGGAGTGTTCTGGTAGACATATTTCTCGTCGACCTCGTATCCGAGCTGAAAGTTGCCCGTCATTCCTAATCTCTTGGTGGTCTTCCTTGCGATTGAAACTCGCTACTACTAATCCTTTTCTCTGAAAAGCTCCTGACCTATTCTGTTTAGTTAGTTGTGGACTGTCCGAAAAGGCTCATGGGTTAGTCGGTTGAAGGATTTTGCGATTCGCCCACGGAAGCCTACAGGTGGGTATACCTTTTCTCTTGGGAGTCTCAGCCGATTTGAAACCCGCTGTTACTAATACTCCAAGATCCCGTCCCCAGTAGACTCTGTGTAGATTTTGATACGTATTGCGGTGGAGGTGCCCCCACTGGCAATGCAGGTTTATCGTAATTAAGCGGTGAAAGTCACTCACGTCGTATTACTTCGAGAGCATTTTGTACTGCCGGCCAGGTATTGAGAATTGAAATATGGAAGACTAGCTCAGGTCCCAATGCCGAACTCTTTGGAGCTCTGTCGTTGTCCGCGACTACGTCAGAGAGGTTGTTATTGATTACTCCCTCATCACCCAACTCTTGGTCAATTCTTATGCATGCACGGAGCTTTTCCGTAACCACAATACTGCAAGGTTTGTGCCAGGCCTGTCAGTGGGACTCAGTTATTTCGAGATCAGTTCGGTTCATCGATGCAATAATTTTGTCAAACCTATTTCGAACACCCCCGAACGTCTCCCGTAATTACTGAAAGGGCGCTACAGCTGGACGGGTGAAGAAGTCGCCTAAACACTTGTTTGCCTTTGTGACAGACTCCAGTACAACTTTGAGAGCACATGCGTTTTTCAGGGATCCTTCTCCTGCAACGAAGTATGAGAACGCTAACCAGTAAACTCGGGTCGAAAACCTTCCCTCTCTGGATGGGGACTCCGGGACTCAATTCACAAATGGTTATTAACAATGATAGAAATGGCCCAATCGCGCAGTCAGTGGCGCTCATGCATTAAAGCTATCGCTTTCAATTCGTAGCCACCTTGTTCCGTAACTAACAAACCGTGCCATCGCCTCCAAGGTCTGGTTGTATTCCCCACACTCCCACTTAGCTGTGGTCGAAACTGTAGCAGCTGGGACCATTGTACCTGTCGTACAAGGCTACAGCTGATAAATTGAAAGCTGGTTGATTGAACGGGTCCTCTGACCCAGATAATAAGCAGACAAGACTTGCTTATCCGTTGCATATTTGATTAGCTTTTCGCACGTCTTTTTCGCTGGGGAATGTGAATTAGTTTAAACCATGAGGACGAGATGGCTCAGGGGTTAAAGCGCAAATTTACAGATCGGAAAGTCCGTGGTTCAAATCCGACCTCTGCCCCTCGAATTCCCCTGTTTAGGCTTGGGCAACCTGGCAGTGTCCCAGCCCTTGTACTTCCTTCTGGTGGCATCGCAGTTAGGCACCGAAAGGGTGCTACAGCTGAACGATTGATTGTTTAACTCATGTCTTCAAGTATCAACCCTAAGTATAATTTTGAGATTACCAATCGAATTAGCACTCACGGGACAGTACTTTCGGTGAAATTTCTTTAATAAGAAAAGCACTTTATTAGCTTGAGCATCACGCCAACTAAAACCTGAGCATTGCTTTCAGTTGAAGGATACCACAAACGAAACGTCCAATTAAATCTGCAATTGAATGTATTCCTCCGAACACTTTAGTATGCCACAGTCGTTCGGTTCCTTTTCAAGGGTCTGTGCTGTTGCAGACTGGGTTCTCACAAAATCGAGAGCCCTGCTTCGATAATAGGATTCGTCACGTCATGGTCAACCATGTGTAATTTCTGACCCCCACATGTCGCTGACCGCGCTGTTTTTCAGTATTGACCATTCGAGTAAACGGGCCCTTGGCGTGTTTGTGTGTTTTCCACCTTGTCGGCGTGGCCTTATTAACAAACGTTATTTTGGGTTCAAAGTTTGACTGTACAAAGCGCACCCAAATGGCTAATCAATGACTACTTAAAAATTAGCAACGTTTCATACAACAGCCGTGTTAAAAATTACTCCTGCCACATGTTATTTATGAGTAATCTCTTGCTTTGGCTGATAGGTCCTAGTAATCTCACGGTTTGTACGGAGACGGATCAAAAGCGCTTAAACGGTGGATAGGCCGACACCTCTCAGGTCCCGTAATCTGCCACCTAGTTGTCATTCCGTAGGGGACATCAATATTGGTTTTACTGCCTGTATAAGGGAGACAGTGCAAGCCAAATAGGTTCATCTCACGGTGTGGCTTGAAGGCTGGTCAAATTCCTCGCCACAGGTTTCCATTCAGCTCTTTTTTTAACGTCTTGGAACAACTGGACGGAGCTTCGATGGATGATCCCACTAGAATGGTAAGAAAAAAGAAATTCATCGATGTCGTGATATCGAATTCCTCCTTCAAAGAGGGCTTGACAAGGTTCAGTTTTGTCTGGATCCCTATAGATATTCCGAAGCGAGTTGTTATCCGCAAATCATTCAAGTTATATCTTTTGACAGGTTTTAGGAAGCCTAGTAGTTTTTTAGTGTGTCATCCAGTGAGTATTTGATCGATTTTGCTAGTGGGACGTAGCTATTCTGCTCAGAAGATAAACCAGCATTACTTGAGGCTCAACGGATACGATCAGCTTTCCATTATGTCTGTGTATGTCCTTGACTAGATTGTCTGTGAATTCTTATTTCCACAAGACTGTCCATGTATGTAAGGTATTTCCAGTAGCAGAGCGCATTACTATGATGCTTTCTGAAAATGTACATGGCTCGGACCTCTCAGCTGATCGTAAAAAAACGTACAGCTGTAGCACCCTTTCAGCGCCTAACTGCCGTGCCACCCGGAGGTAGCACAAGGGCTGGCACTGCCAGGTTGCCCAAGCCTAGACAGTGGAAGTGGAGAAGGCAGAAGTGGGTTCGAACCTTCCGGTCAGTAAATTCGTGCTCTGACCTCTAAGCCATGTGTATAAGACGCTGCCTTGGTTTCGGGAGTCTTTAAACAAATAAGCAGAACTACTCCTTTCCTTCCGAGAAACAGGCCGGATAGGGTCCTTAAGTCACGACTAAGCTGTCGAACATTGTCAACAACGTCTGCTTGCTTTAGATTACTACCGTGATGATCTGGATAGTGCTTTATGATTCAGGCCATGCCGGTTTCACCTTTAGGATTGTGTAGTAGTCTATGGTCTATTACGTCAAGCCAGTCAGTGAGTTTCAGTAGTTTCTGACGAGCGTACCGGTGCGCGGATTGTCAGAAATCACCCCGATAGCTAGTTCTTCCGATGCGCACGACGCCATCCCAATGTTTCTGGCACCGCATCCTGTTCTTGTAGAATCTGCTCATTAAAAGTGATTGGACAATTCACGTTATCCCACAAGGCGGTATGCTATTGCTTTCCGATGTTTTCTGCAGACAGCAGCTCACAACGTTCCACAGTTTTACCCCTTCCTCAAAATTCAGTACAATCTAGTTAATTTAACCAAAGTAACCACTTTTCCGGTGGCACCTTAAGAAACTCCCATGCCAAAAAGTGGTAAACAAGGAATATAATTTAGTGCCAGCATTGCACCAAGGCCACTCCGGTTATATGGTTGTCCACTTTGACCTTCAGTCTTGGAAATGGTGGATGAACACTAGAACTCGCTCGGAATTGAGCTCCAGGGTCTCCTGCAAAAACGGCTAAGCAACTTAAATCGGGGCAGGTAAATCACTTGCATAGAGTATAAGTAACAGGTTGCCTGAAATACCATGACGCACCTTTAATTCACCTCTATCTCAGTCACCCAGACCTGGTTGAGTCCGGACGATCAGGTGGAGGGAGTGTGTTCACGTCACCGTCTTAGTTACACGCGTGATGGCATGATGGATCTGTGATAGAGCTGCGACTCTTCTGGAGGCCCGGCGACAAATTCGTCCCGACTGCAACCACGACTCAACCTGCTGCCAGGTAAAACTGAGTGTCCGTGCAGATCTCGAAGCTCGACCAAGGAAATGGAAGAGGCGTTGAATGGTAGAAACGTCCGGAGACTCTTCCATCTGATTCGCTCAAATGGTTCTCGGAGTCTTCTTGTCGGCACAACTCTCAATGACCAGAATGGCTCTCTGATATCTAGAGAATAACATTTATACCGGTGGGCGCAATACCTCGTACATCTGCTTCCTTCCGAAATGTTGACCCCCAACAGAAAGGCGGACTGTTACCATGTAATTCTCCTCAGCCTCAGAAATGTCCGAATATACACGTCCAGTCAAGCGTCATCGCGCTCCTGGCTTTGACGATCTACCTGTTCTATTCATGTCTACCTGGGAGAAAGAGACCGTTTCTGATAACTGGGATGACTCGATAATTGTGATCATTTTAAAAGATGTTACTCGCAGTAGATATGGTAACTACAGAGGTCTTAGTTTGACTCCCGTTGTAAGAAGCCTTCTAGTGTCACTGATTCTTCATTGCCTTAAGGCGGTACGCGACCCCTTGGCCCGTGAGAAGCAAGCGGGATTTCGACTGGCTGCGTCGACCATATATTCGCACTCTGTCAGTTAGAACGATACCATATCTCAATCTTAGAATTCCTTGACTTCAGGGGCGCATCCGATTCCATCGATCGGCAAGTGTAATTAACAACTACTTAACAGGGTACGCCCCAGAAGTTTGTGAACATAATCCGATCCCTGTATTCACATACCTCCGGCATGTGAGAGTGTTTGGTGAGCTCCAAAGGCCTCCCTACAGAAAGTGGTGTCCGACAAGGATGTCCAATCACTCCGTTCTTGTTCAACTTCGTCATTGATGAACTAATGAGGCGAACGCTGGAAGGTCTTCCTAACCCCCGTATTCAACTTGTCACCGGAGAGAACCTTGTCGGTTCGGAGTACGCAGACGATATCGTCCTCATCTTTGAACATGAAGGCGCAGCACAAGCTGCGTTGTCCTCCTCATCATCATGGCTGGAAGGTCTAACCCCCGTATTCAACTTGTCACCGGAGAGAACCTTGTCGGTTCGGAGTACGCAGACGATATCGTCCTCATCTTTGAATGAACAGGCGCAGCACAAGCTGCGTTGTCCTCCTCATCATC